GTTAGCCAGGATGGTCTCGATCTCCTGACCTCGTGATCTGCCCGCCTCGGCCTCCCAAAGTGCTGGGATTACAGGCTTGAGCCACCACACCCGGCCGATATATTTTATCTAAAAACAACATAGTGTTCAAACTCTTAGCTACTAGCAGGTGCCACATAGACAATAATAAATACTCATTAATGATTATTATGCTTATATAATGATCACTATAGAAAACATTCTAGTTCCATACTCTTAATTGTATTGCAGGACAAATAAAGCTCCTCTTTTTTTTTTTAAATTTCCAAGAGTGAAAATTTTGGTTTGGGCAAAATACATTTTTCTGTTTTAATATGAAAACTGTAAGTGTATTTGTACATACACATGCGTATATTTTATATATATACACATACATACATATATGTAATAGTCCTACCCTATATGGACACCAATATTGTCCAAATAATAGAAAATGGGAAGCATACTTAGCTTCCTTGTATCTTCCTTTAAACTTTGATCTCTTTCCTCAAATACAGATCGTTAGTCTGAAATCCCCTCATGCCTTTTTCTTGTTGTTGAGATGGGTTTTTGCTCTCATTGCCCGGGTTGAAGTGCGATGGTGCAATCTCAGCTCACTGCAACCTCCGCCTATCTGGTTCAAGTGATTCTCCTGCCTCAGCCTCTCAAATAACTGGGATTATAGGCTCTCGCACCATACCCGGCTAGTTTTTGTATTTTTGGTAGACATGGGGTTTCACCATGTTGGTCAGGCTGGTCCCGAACTCCTGACCTCAAGTGATCCAGCCACCTCGGCTTCCCAAAGTGCTAGGATTGTAGGCATGAGCTACTGCACCTGACCAAACCACCGCGCCCGGCCCCTATCATGATTTTGACCAGAGGGTGCCTTTTATTTATCTTCTAAGATAAACACTGGAGAAAGGGAGGAGAATGAACACCATTCAACTGCCTGCCCTGTGCCAGGTGCTGTCTGAGGCAAGGTGCATGAGCAATCTTTCAGCAAATGAATTCACCTCAGCTCCATTGCCGTTTTTAGAGCTGCATCCTGGCCCTTGGATATGAAGAGTCCAGAAATAAAAAACACAATAGGAGAATGATTTCAGCAATTTCAAAAGAAAAGCCAGCTTATATCCAGCTGCCAGCTAGATCAAGTACCACTACAATGAGAAATATTTTCCTAGCAACTTCAAACATTGAAAAGAATTAAAATGGTAATAATATTTAATGTTTAAAACAGGGACCTTACAACTCATTAGATGGTGAAAATCTTACTCTTGTATAAAATAGACCAACCTATATTCATTTTATATATATAAACTTTTATTATTTTAATTTTGAGAAATTCCAAGAGTCCTAAAAATATGACAATACCTGTACAACCACTTAAATAGATGTTACTAATATTTTGTCATATTTACTTCATCCTATTTTTATTAATAAAAGAAAACATTACTAGTGATATTGAAGTTTCTATACAACGTACCCTTCATACCATCTGCCCACAGAAGCAATCACGGAATTTTGTATCATTCCAATCCACATTTATACTATTATATGCACATATATGAAATCATACTTTGCACAAACTTTTAAGATTTCAGGCGGGGAAATGAACTGCTGTCTGCCTTTCATACTTAAAACCCACTCTAGTTCCCATAACCTTGTGCAAATCCAGTTACAATCTAATTATTTCAAATTCTCTAAGCCGAAGTCCTTCACCTTTTAAGTAGAGTTTTTGCTTGCAGGGAGCATATTTGCTTTCAATGCAGGGACTGGCTGAATGGAGTCCAAAGCACTAGGGTTTCACATTTGTAAGTGATAAGAGGGGGAGGTGGTGACTTTCAGAGATCATGTTTCAAGTCCAGCTCTGGTTTTTATGTGTGTGGGAATGGACACAAAGGAAAACACAGCTGAGCTGCATTGTAACTCTTCCTGTAGAACCTGTTCATGTCCAGGGTGAGTAAACTAGGGTAGAAATGTCTTCCTAAAACAGCCTCCGGTGAAATTCGTCCTTGGATTCAAAGCAGCTTACTTCCCAGGAAGTATCGGGCAAATCCCAACTGCCCCCCATTTTAGAAAGCTCTCTTCTCTGGGAAAATCTGCCACTGAGAACTTTGCCCTCCTCTCCCTGATGGGAGGAAAGAGTAGAATTAGGGAGGTGTCACTCGGTAGAGTTGCTGATGTCAGTAGTGTGTCAGCCGTGGGAGGCTCAGTTTGTGAAATTGAGTTACACCTAAGTGTCTTATGAAACTCAGTTCAGAACTCACCGGAGCTGCCGTCTGGGAGGGGGAGGTTGGAAGAACCCTGAGGTTTTCCCTCACATTTCTGTCCCATTTTTGGAACCTCTGGATTTAAAGAAATGAAAACCTCAAGTTTGTGGAGATTTTAAGAAATGGGTATGTAGCTTTATACTTTTATTAATTCCTCTTTGAACCTGAGTGAGTGTTGTGGTTATAGACAGCTATGTGTGCGGACCACGGAGGGCTGTTTTTAGGGTGTACTGGTTTATTTCACTGTTTGAAACTGGGGGGTCCAGTCTGAACACTTTTTTTCCCATGCCAGTGTATGTATAGAAACCTTCAGCTCGTTTTGTTCCTTTACATGATGAGGTTTACATGCCTGTGAAAAGCCTGGGTTCCTGTATGTCAGGAAATGGTTTTGCTGATAGTGCATTGCAGAGAAGTGCTTATTATTTAGACTATTAAAAATAATCTTTTAAGATTCTTTGAACATAATTTTAAAATCCAGCCAAAGTCTAATAATATAATGAAACCTCTGTGCTATTATTTCCCTAATCAAGTCTGGGGGCAGAGAAGAGGAATTTGACCATGAAGTCTAAGTTGACAGGACAAACCAAGGCTCAGGATAGTACAATGTCTTATAAAGAGCTTAGGAAGCAGCCCAGAAAACACAGCAAGGCGTCCTCAATTCTGTGAATGAGCCGCTTTCTATCAAATTATTTGGTTTTCAAATGCACGTAGCTAGTAAAGTTTGTTTCTCCCAATCAAACTGACAACAGCAATAGAATATCAGTAGTGTCTATATCAGAGTGTGCAGACATTGGGAGCTATGTTCAAAAACTGGAGGTTCTAGCTCAGAAACCAAGAAGAGGCTCTGGTGTTCCCTCCTACCCCTTCTCTGCCCCCAGTTACTGGTGCTAGGTTTCCGTGGCATTTAGGGGAACTCTCTTCATAGGTAGGAAACTGGTATCTCAGAGAATCACCCCTGCATGGGGGTTCCGTTTTACTTTCACTTTGCATTCTTTTGAAATTCAGTCTCTGATGTTATTGAAATATCCCTTTGAATATCTTTCCATTTTACTATGAAATCAACGTCTTTGATAAGGCTGGTGCTTACTGGAATCTGTGCAGATTTCCTTATTATATAGTTGAGTCAGAGGAAAAATAGTGTGCATATTCTTCCACAGATGGTTGGTTTTATTGTTCAAGGAAGATTTATTGGCGAGGTGAATCTTAATAGTTAAAGATTGCTGTCAGAAGAAGGAATAAAATGGTTTCAGGTCATAGTTGATTTGTAAAAAGGCTGAATCACATATTCATACTTCATCGTATCAGTGTACTTTCTTGGAACTTATAATTGTTTGATTATTAAGCTGATTTATAGACTGAGTAAAAATAAGACTAAATAACCCTGCCTGGCTTTTCTGTTTTCTTTAGTTATTCCAATGGAAACAGCTGGAGAACTTATATTTCCGTGAGAAAAAATTTGCTGTTGAAGTTCATGATCCACGAAGGTGAGGATCAAAGACTTTTTCTCTGTGTGACCCAGTTACTGTACAAATAATGCTGCTATCAACATTTGTGTACACGTTTTTACATGAACATATGTTTTCATTTCTCTTGGGTATATACCTAGGAGTGGAATTGCTGGGTCAAATGGTAACTATCTTTAACCCTTTGATGAACAGCAAGGCTGCTTTTCAAAGTGCTGCACCATTTTGCATCCCAAGCAGCAGTATATGTGGTTCCAATGCTGACACATCCTCACTGACACTTGTTACTTTTAGTTTTGTGTGCATGTATAGTTTATGCCATCCTAGTGGGTTGAAGTGGTACCTTCTTGTGGTTTTGATTTGCATTGCCCTCGTGACTAATGATGGCTGAGCACCTTTTCATGTGCTTCTCAGCTATTCATGTATCTTTAGTAGAGAAATGTCTATTCAGATCTTTTGCTCATTTAAAATGTTGGTGTTCTTGGTCATTTAAAAAAAAAGAAGAAGAAAAAAAAGTCAAGTTATCAACATTAACTGAAGTCAGGATGTTGGTTCTCAAATATCTTAGGAGAAATTCTTCTCCCCCACCCCCCTGCCAAGACAGAGTCTCACTCTGTCACCCAGACTGCAGTGCAGTGGTGCAACCTTGACTCACTGCAACCTCCACCTCCCAGGTTCAAGTGATGCTCATGCCTCAGCCTCCCAAGTAGCTAGGAGTACAGGCATGCACCACCACACCAAGCTAATTTTTGTGTTTTTAGTAGAGACAGGCTTTCACCAGGCTGGTCTCGAACTCCTGACCTCAGGTGATCCACCAGCCTCGGCCTCCCAAAGTGCTGAACCATGGCACCTGGCCTTAAGAGAAATTACTAATCAGTCCTTAGTGGGAACTTTTCAGTCCCAAGATGGTTATGGATGGTTAGAGGCCAGAGGGATGGGAGGAAATACCTGTGATAAAAAGGTGACCCGAAGAGATAAGCAAAATTCCTACAAAAGAACATTAGTAACGCATCATACACACACAGTCTGTCTGCCTCTTGCCTGTTCTCTCTCTCTTTCTCTCTCTCTTTCACTCCCCCTCCCTCCCTTCTACCCTCCTTTCCCTCTCCCCCTCTCCCTCCTCCTCCTCTCCCTCTTCCTCCTCTCCCTCCTCCTCCTCCTCCTTCTCCCCCCTCCCCTTTCCTCTTTCCATCTGGTGTACAAGCAGCCCTCTGAACAGTTTTGGACTTGCATATTTTCAGCCATTATCATTAAGTGCATTATCTGATCATGTCAGAGCCAGCCAAATCTACCTAGATCTGAAATGCTCTTTTACCTTGAATTAGGTGCTCATCCCACACTTGGTTGCTGCATCTTTAAAATCTTATCCAGGCCGGGCGCGGTGGCTCACGCCTGTAATCCCAGCACTTTGGGAGGCCAAGGCGGGTGGATCACAAGGTCAGGAGATCAAGACCATCCTGGCTAACACAGTGAAACCCCGTTTCTACTAAAAATACAAAAAATTAGCCAGGCATGGTGTTGGGCGCCTGTAGCCCCAGCTACTCGGGAGGCTGAGGCAGGAGAATGGCGTGAATCCGGGAGGCAGAGCTTGCAGTGAGCCGAGATTGCGCCACTGCACTCCTGCCTGGGTGACAGAGCCAGACTCCGTCTCAAAAAAAAATAAAATAAAAAAGATCTCATCCCATTTATTCCTTACCACTTGTGATGGCTATACATCCTTAGAGTTTCTAACTAAAAGTTTTTGTATAATCTCTAATTTGACTGATTCTTTATCAGCTCTTGAGTTCATGTGTATGTGTTTTTAAACATGCTGTTTATCCAGAAAGAGATTACTTAGGTCTGAATTGTTTTGTTGTAAAAGGAGAAAATCAGAAACTTGGTTGCCATTTGCATAAGAGTTTTTGCAACAGAAGACAAGTAAGAGGAACATGCCTTGTTACAATGCTGCTTGCAGGGTACATTTTGCATCATGCTGGGCCAGAGGGGAATTATTTGAGTGCTTTCTTTAATCTTTCAGGATTTCAGTTTCAAGAAGAACCTTTGGGCAAAGTGGCCTCTTTGTGCAAACATGGTATGCTAACTCTTCTCTCATCAAGTCCATTTGGGTAATGGCAATTAGTCAGCATCAGTTTTACCTGGACAGGAAACAAAGCAAGGTAAGTAACTGGCATCATTTCTATAGGGACAGATTCCCGTTTTGCATTCTGTTTAGAAGATAAGCCTTCTCACAAAAGATGCAAGCACATATATTTTTGCTCTCTGAGATTTTTTTATGTTTAACTTCCAACTATTTCAGATTTTCTATATGTTTAAATGATGGGCAATATATAAGCTGCTTTATAAGTTGTAAGACTGGCCAGCTTGTTGCCATGCATGTTTGTATATACTGGTGACACTGCTGGTGGTGATGGTGCCGGTGACATTTTAAAGTTAGTAACTGAACCACACCATGAGAAAATCATGTATAGTTATTAAAACATTTTAACTACAAAGCTTAAGGCTTGTGGACTTTTCGTTTTGTTTTATTTTTTGGTCTGAAGAATGCCACTTGAATATGTGAAAATTCTAAATTATCCTCTGTGTTGATATTTTCATTGTATGTTAACTTAATTGTTTTATTAATTTGAAGTATGTTTGAGTTAATTCTGTTTCATTGTTGTATACCTCTTAGGCAAAAATTCCTTCAGCCAGGAGTTTAGACGAGATTGCAATGGATTTGACAGAGACAGGAACACAAAGGGCCTCCAAGCTGGTGACACTAGAGGCGAAAAGTCAGTTCATCATGGCAAGCAATGGCAGTTTAATCTCCTCAGGTAACATCTTGGGATTAGAGAATGTGCAAGCCATCTTTATTTTGTTTCTTTTTTCGATCATAAACCACTTCTAAATTCATCTTTTAATCCATTCTTTTGGAAATAAATAAGCATGTCAATAAATATGTATGCAACAGCTTTGAATAAAAGTTTAAGGCTAAGTTTTTAAAGAATATGTAGAAAGTCAAATTATAAATAGGTTGTGCACGTAATATGAGATACAAGGATGGTGAGTACCTTGGTGTGGCTTGAAAGAACATGTTCCCCAGCAGCTGCTTTTTCCAGCATTTAGTTTTTGATACAGATAATTGTCTAATTCTCCATGCAATATAAAATGCTGCGCAAACATGATTACAAGCATACCCCTCCAATGTGATAGCTTCCCCTAAGCCCTTCCTCTGTACAAATTCTGGAATCCCTTATCATTAACTATATGTAACTTTACTAAAATGATTCGTCCCATCTAAATCTCACTGTCAACTTGTGAATCTGAAGCATGACCTTCCTTCACACAGATTTTTCTTTTCCTTGCTTGCTTACTTTCTAAAAGAACACTCGAAACAACTCTTCAAGGACCGTCTTACCTTCTCTTCTGCTCAGAAAAATGAAAATTTTCCTTGGGTGTGTCTGGGACATTAAACATTTTATCGTTACCCCCAAAATGACTGAGCCAGGATGCAAAAAGGCACATTTTTCTTACCAGATTCTGTTTGATACCCAGAAGAATGAGAGAATGTTTTCTAGTTTCCTTTTATTATGTTGAGAAACAAGGAGAAAAGAAATAAACTACCATTTAATAGCAGCTTTAGCTTAAAAATCCTTTGTCCCTTAGAAAGGAAGGAAACATCCCTTGTATAAACCTTCCCTGCCCTTCCCTCATTCCCTAGGTTCTCAAGACTCAGAAGTTAGTGAGGAGCAAAAGAGAGAAAAAATCCTTGAACTAAAGAAGAAGGAGAAACTATTACAAGAAAAACTTCTGAAAAAAGTTGAGGAGCTTAAGAAGATCTGTCTGCGGGAGGCTGTGAGTCTGCTTTTTTGAGCTCATCGAATTGTGTTTGACAACTTTGGCCAGTGTCAATTATCCGCTCTTGATTCTGTCCTGTTTTACAGGAGCTCACAGGCAAAATGCCAAAGGAGTATCCCCTGAACGTAGGCGAGAAGCCTCCTCAGGTCAGAAGACGTGTGGGTACTGCCTTCAAATTAGATGACAACTTGCTGCCGAGTGAAGAGGTATGAACAACGCCTCTGAGCCTTTCAATTAATCCTGAGACAGGAAAGCTGTCTGACTGTAGTGGACTTTTTCCTTTGGTTTTTGAGTCTCTGCTGTATGTTATCTCACCAGCAGAGGTGGATCGTGTAGACCAAACTGAACTCTTTCTTTCATGCCCACTCCAGTCAAAATTGAGTTCTCACTACTTTACTCCCCAAATTATAGACAGCACCCAGTGAACTCCAAATGTTTCTCAATTGAGAGGCAGTATTATAAGAATTAAGAACTCCAGCATTAGGTTCGTTTACTTAAAACTAAATAATAGCCTTTGGCAAATAGTTTAGCCTCTCTAAAGTCTCAATTCTCAGGCCTCAGTTTTCCTCATCTGTAAAATGGGGGTAATGATTGGACTTCCCTCCAAGGCATCCAGTGAGTATTAAATGAGATAATACATGCACAGCACTGAGTTACAATCAAGTTAAAATATTTGTTAGCCAATGTAGAATGTATAATACTTTCTCATTTGCATGTCATCAGCCAATATGACCATACCTATGTTTCTTGTAGAAATTTGACCATCTTAGCTTTAGAAAATTATCTGTTTTCTTCTTTGGAAATCTTTGCTATTTACTGAGTGCTTACTGTGTACCCATCTCTGAGCTAAGCAATGCACATATATTATCTCATTTAATCCTCATCCTACTTTCATAAGGTAGGTGTTATCTTCATTTTACAAATGAAAAAAACTGAAGCATTAAAAGATGAAGCTGTGTATCCAGGGTCATGCAACCAGGAATTACCAGGAAGAAGATCAACCCCAAATTTATCTTTCTCTAAAACTATGCATATGAATATAACCTTCTGCATCCATGAGCTTTGAGTTAAGAATATATCCATAAAAACTGTGATCTTCTCCCAACCAACTGAATGAATGAAAGGCCATTCCCTCCCTTGAAAAGGGAAGAGGTTTGGACTAATGAGAAGTTCAAGTTAAGACGGGTAAAGGAAAGTGTTTGACAAGGATGTCTATGCAGTAAAATTTGGGAAGATAGTGTTCTCAAAGAACAGCTGATTCAAGAAAGTGCACAGCAAGTTTTATTACACAATGCATGTAAGAGTTGGTCGTATGTGTCCGTAAAAATAAAACTATCATTGTATAAATGCAGGATCCTGCTTTGCAAGAACTGGAGAGTAATTTTCTGATACAACAAAAGCTGGTGGAAGCTGCAAAGAAACTTGCCAATGAGCCAGACCTTTGTAAAACTGTGAAGAAAAAGCGAAAGCAAGATTACACAGATGCAGTGAAAAAGCTTCAGGAGATTGAAAATGCAATAAACGAATACCGAATTAGGTGTGGAAAGAAACCCAGCCAGAAAGCAGCAGTGTTACCAGGTTAGTAATAAGTAAGGTTTTTTTTGAGTCCCCTACTTAATACTTAATGGTACCTAGCATGTCCAAACCAGTTACCAGTTAATTTGGTGAGAGATAGAAAGAAGAACCAGATGATCAAAACTAAGTTTTCTTTTTTATTTGTAGACAGATTTTCACTCTTGTTGCCCATGCTGGAGTGCAATGGGGCAATATCGGCTCACTGCAGCCTCCACTTCCCGGGTTCAAGTGATTGTCCTGCCTCAGCCTCCCAAGTAGCTGGGGTTACAGGCATGCGCCACCACACCCACCTAATTTTGTATTTTCGGTAGAGACAGGGTTTCTCCATCTTGATCAGGCTGGTCTCAAACTCCTGATCTCAGATGATCCACCCTTCTTGGCCTCCCAAAGTGCTGGGATTACAGGCATGAGCCACTGTGCCTGACAAAACTAAGTTTCTTAGGATAAAAATTGTTTGGAATTTCAGTTTTATAAGTATGTAAACTTGATTGAAAATTTCTGTAATTTATGAAGGCTATTTAAAGATATGGGCAGCATGGGCACAGCGCTCCACACCTATAATCCCAGCACTTTGAGAGGCTGAGGTGAGCAGATCACTTGAGCTAAGGATTTTGAGACCACTCTGGGAAGCATGGTGAAACCCCATCTCTTCAAAAAATATTTTAAAAATTAGCCAGGCGTGGTGGTGCACACCTGTAGTCCCAGCCACAGGGGAGGCTGAAATGGGAGGATCATTTGAGCCCAGGCAGTTGAGGCTGCAATGAGCTATGATTGCACCACTGCACTCCAGCATGGGTGACAGGGCAAGACCCTGTCTTAAAAAAAAAAAAGTAAACAAAATTTAAAAATAAAGATATAGGCAAATGGTCATGATATAACATGAAATGCAGAAAAGCCCGATATAAAATTGTTACCACAACATGATCTCAATTTTATAGAAATATGCACACACAAAGACTGGCCAAGAACTATTTCAAAATACTAATAGTTGTGAAATTTCAAGCAACTTAATTTTCTTCTTAATATTCTTCTGTATTTTCCAAGTTCTCAACATTATGTATTTATGACTTTCATTTTCAGAAAAAAAAGTAAACTGAGAAATCCCAGGTAGATTTAAAGTCCAATTGACCTGACATGTTTATTGGCATGGTTTTCAGCCTGGTGATTGAAATAGGATTGTATTTTTTTGATTCTAAGAGTTTTTTTCCTTTACATTTTAACATCTATGAAATTGGGATAGTTTTGTTTTTTTTGTTTGTTTGCTTTTGTTTTTGTTTTTGTTTTTGAGACAGAATCTCTCTCTGTGGCCCAAGCTGGAGTGCAGTGCTACCATCAAACCTCACTGCAGCCTCGACTTCCTGGGCTCAGGTGATCCTCCTACCTCAGCCTCCCTAGTAGCTGGGGACACACCACCATGCCTGGCTAATGTTTTGTAGACATGGGGATTCACTGTGTTGCCCAGGCTAGTCTCAAACTCCTGAGCTCAAGCAATCCTCCCGCCTCAGCCTCCCAAAGTGCTGGGATTGCAGGTGTGAGCCACCACGCCCAGTCTTGGGATAGTTCTTAACACACTAGATGGTGTGTTACAATCATACTTGGCAGTACTTTTTCAATTAATTTATTTTTTACTGGTACTTAAAATATATATCTTAGATTTGATGAAATAAGGTAAGTGAGTTTAGAATATACTTGGGTGTAGAGCATATGATTTACAAAGCAGACGTTGCTTTTGGAAAGGGAATGTACAGCATCAACACACAAGTGTTAGTCCACTGCAGCTGGAGAATGTAGAGTAGCTTTGACTGAACGTGAAATCCAGGTGGCCTTGGGTGTGGTTAATTTCTGGACCTACAGATATGGGTTATTAGCATTGTGCTTAACTTCATGACCATTTGCTATGGCCCATTCATCCTCAAACTGTGCAAAATTCAAATGTTCTCCTTTACAGTGAAAGTATGCCTGACAGCTGACTATACTGGCACCTTGCCTTCAAGCTCCACTGTGTGTCCAATAGAGAGAGTTCACTTGTCTCTGATACAGCTTAACATTAGAGATTGGTTGGAGAGCTTCCTTTCATAATGGTTTTGAAATTTACATTGAAGGATTATATTTGCCTAGAACTTTGTGCCAAAGCACTCAACTGAATATGGAATGATTTGCAAATGTAGATCAACGCATCTGAGATACTTATCTTTACTGAATATGTTTGTGGGGTTTTTGTTTGTTTGTTTGTTTTGTTTTGTTTTGAGACAGAGCTCTCTCTACTGCCCAGGTTGGAGTGAAGTGGCATGATCTTGGCTCACTGCAACCTCTGCCTCCCAGGTTCAAGCAGTTCTTCTGCCTCAGCCTCCCAAATAGCTGGGGTTACAGGCATGCACCACCATGCTTGACTAATTTTTGTATTTTTAGTAGAGACAGTGTTTCACCGTGTTGGTCAGGCTGGTCTCAAATTCCTGACCTCCAGTCATCCGCCAACCTCAGCCTCTCGAAGTGCTGAGATTACAGGCGTGAGCCACCGCACCCGGCCATGTTCTTTAACATTTGATGGATACCAGCAATAGTCAGAGTGTTATGGCCATTGCCAACCAGAACGCAGTGTCTAGGTAACTAAAGATTTAAGTCTAGCTAACATTTACTGAGCATTTGTCATGTAATTCTGGGAGCTGGGCTAGGGGCTTTACTTCCATTATTCTAACGCTTCACCCCAGCACTACGTGATAGGTACTGCTGTTATCCCCATTGTGGGGTTGAGCCAGGTGATACAGATTAATTTGCCCAAAGTCTTATAGTCAATAAATGGCAAAACCAAGACTTAAACCTAATTCAGTGGTTCTCAACCAGGGAGGCTGGAAATCCTATAATGCACAGGACAGTTCCCCAGGACAGAGGATTATCCAGTTCAAAATGTCAGTAGTGCCACTGTTGAGAAACCTGTTGAAAAAGCTTGGCCAGTCATAGTGATTCACACTTTTAATCCCAGTACTTTCGGAGGCCTAGGCAGGCAGATCGCTTGAGCCCAGGAGTTCAAGACCAGCCTGGCCAAAGGGTGATACCCTATCTTTACTAAAAATCCAAAAAATTAGCCAAGCGTGGTGCTGTGTACCTGTAATTTCAGCTACTCAGAAGGCTGAGGCGGGAGGATTGCTTAAGCGCAGGAGGTTGAGGCTGCAGTGAGCCATGATCACACCATTGCACTCCAGTCTGGGCAACAGAATGAGACCCTGTCCTAAAAACAAACAAACAAACAAAAAAAAAAGAAAAGCCCTTTCTTTCAGGGAGGGGTCGAAAGCCAAGTTATATTAAGAGTAGATTCTCAAATGAGGATTCAGATGTGTTTTATTTAACATTTAGCATTTATGATAAGAATGGCATGATTTTTCTTTCCAGTTTGTTGGTCGTAAGCACTAAATATGTAGGTAAAGTTTTCTTCCAGTGTAGAAGAAACACTGAAAACTAGTTTAAAACCAGCACTCCCTTGAAGTCTGTCCCATTTTAAGAAATAATCTAATGTAATATTTGTACCATATGTAAATATTTTGATTTTTGTTAGTATGTGAGTCAATTCTTGCTACGGTAGTTAATTATTCTTAATGCACTGTAATTAATTACATTTCTTGAAATGAAAATAAAATGCACTCCGTTGAAAATTGTTTCTCTAAGCCCCCTCTAATTGTATAAATGCACAATTGCACTAAAGGCAGTTATTTTTATTCACAGAAGACATAATCCCCTCAGAGAGTAGCTCTTTGTCTGACACCACCACCTTTGATGATCGTAAGTGGCTCTTCCTTTTTTGGTTTAGCAATGTGAGATATTCTGAAATAATTCAGATAATGTTCTTAGTTAAGTAAGGCCTATTTGTTTTTCTTTTGAGAAGAAGTAGAATAAACTAACTTACATTTATGCAAAATGGTTGGGAAAGGAAGTGTATGATTAACACCTACTCAGGTTAACTCAGTATTAATAACAGGACCACAAAAATCACATGACCTCAGGAAATCAGAATGCCCTCACAGGAGTATCTAAGTCTCTCAGTAAGGACTTTAAGGCTCTCTAAAGTGTTTCTTAACTTTTTATTTTGAAGTAATCATAGACTCATGGAGAGCTGCATGATTAATAGAAAGACTCCTTCACCCAGCTTTTCCCAATGGTGGCATCTTATGTATCTGGAGTCCCATATAAAAACCAGGATATTAGATTGTACACTGTATCACTATATTCATCACAATATGAAATGAAATCACTGTATGTTTTACAATATGAAATAAACTTTCATATTCTAGATAAAGGAAAGTTTATTTTACTTAGGAAGAAAGGCACAGTTAGACATTGGGCTACCTGTCATTTTGTTGTTTCATAGGGGCAGGCTGCATTGATCGTAATGGCCTACATTTGTTCAATATATTTCTTTTCTTTTCTTTTCTTTCTTTCTTTTTTTTTTTTTTTTTTTTTTGAGACGGAGTTTCGTTCTTGTTGCCCAGGCTGGAGTGGTGCAATGGCGCGACCTCAGCTCACTGCAACCTCCGCCTCCCAGGTTCAAGCAATTCTCCTGCCTCAGCCTCCCTAGTAGCTGGGATTACAGGCATTAGCCACCACGCCCGGCTAATTTTTGCATTTTTAGTAGAGATGGGGTTTCACCATGTTGGTCAGGCTAGTCTCGAACTCCTGACCTCAGGTGATCCGCCTGCCTCAGCCTCCCAAAGTGCTGGGATTACAGGCATGAGCCACCGTGTCCAGCCGTTTAATACATTTCATTATAGAATGGGTTTACTATCAACTAATAGAGTATTTCTTTGTCATCTCTTGTACTTAATCATGATTGAGTTGGCTATCTCTGTGGTATGACTTGAATTCCGGGAAACCACCCCCACACCGCTTTATCTTCCCCAAGTTTTATGGTGCATAAAATTTCACCACTGCAGAATTCTTCCTGTGAGCTGATGTTTGGTCATGCTTGCCACCCCTCTTTGAAAATGTAAATATCAGTGGGAAACATAACAAGCCTCTAATGATGCAGCGTTAAGTCAGTTTCCTTACTTTCAATGACAGGATAAGCCTTTGGCCAAAGAGGCCTAAAAACTTTAAAAGTAAAGGTGAACAAAAATGATCCAGGCCAACTTCCCCTTGGTTCACACTGGAAGTTTTCTTTAACATAGCTTTTTAAAAGCTGCGGTATTACCCATTCCCCTTGAGTGCTTTACTCACTCAGAGTGACACCTGTTGAATTTGGCAAAAGATGGTTCAGGTCCCAGAAGAGTGTTCAGTAATTTCATTTTTTCTGGTGTATAAAATATAAAAATTAACTTCTTGAAAGTTACGATCTTCTAAAAATATCATCTTTGGAAGAACATTTTGTTCACTAAATCTTCCAATTTCTTTTTTGAGATGTTGGCAAGATATTTATTTACCTATTAATTGGCCTACTTATTTTTTCATTCACCCATTTACTTATTATAGCCAGTGACGCCTTCACTCTTGCTGGGCAGCGATCAAGTTCAGTACCTCATTCTCCAAGAATTCTTCCCCCCAAGTCTCTTGGTATTGAGCGAATCCATTTCAGAAAGTCGTCCATCAATGAACAGTTTGTGGATACCAGGCAGTCCAGGTGAGAGGTCGTATCGTCAGTAAGGTTAATGCCTCACAGCTAGGAAATTTTTCCTCCAAAATGCAATGTATGGTTGATATATTTTTATATGTTTTTATTTATCCTTCCAAAAGATGTTATCTTATAGAACTGGGGCATAGAAACTGACCCAGTTATTTGTTGTTCACAGCAAATGAAAATGTTTTTAATAAGTCTTTTAAAATGCATTTGACCATTTCCTTGACTTTAAAGTCTATTTGATCTATATTAACTTATAGGGACATTAATTATCATCTGGATTTGGACATACTGTCCACAGTTCAGTTTCATAGTCACTGGTCTAAGGAAATTGTCACTAAAGTCCACTCTGCCAAACCAAGTAGCAGGACTGATTTCCAGTCCTGCAAATACACATGGAACTTAAACTCATAATCTGTAAAATACATAATCCACGCATTTTCCCAGATATCTCAGGTAAACATTATCAGGGCAGTGAGACCAGGTTTTAGAAACATGACAGGCCAGTGGTTCCCAGAATTTGGCTGTATGGGTCAATTCTTAAAAAACAAACAGTTACCAGCTGTTTGCTTTGCCTAAAAAGAAATTTTCCAACAGGTTGAGTGTGGCAGCTCATACCTATAATCCCAGCACTTTGGGAGGCCAAGGTTGGGAGGATCACTTGAGCTCAAGAGTTGGAGACTACCAGTCTGAGCAACCTAATGAAGCCCCATCTCTACAAATTTTATAGACAG